AGAATGTATCTATCAAAGAGAAGAGTTTTAGAGATGCAAATCTGGTTGTTGAGTGTAAATTCCATATTCTCCTTGGTGATTGCAGTGAGGCTTCATCTTGAGTGATTCCACAGGCTTACTCTTGAAATGCGCTGCTCCCATCGTTGATTTTCCTTTGTGCTACTCGTGAACTGGGTAGCAGGCTTCCTTTGGTCTCCCCCGAAGGTCTGAGCTTCCTCCTTTTATCTGTTTCTTTGTTCAATCTCTCCAATTCGTATTGAAGAGGGTTAGAGGATAGCTCGGCAAAGCTAGGTAAGCAACCAGGGAATAGAGTCCAGATAGACTCCAAGTGCCGGCTGATTGCTTCTTTCACTTTGTCATGCAAGTAATATCAAGGACAAAGGAAAAGACAGGGAAAGAGCATGATATGAGATACCTTTGCTTTTGCCCTTGATGATATGAGATACCTTTGCTTTTGAAGAAGCGGTGAATGAATCAGCACATGTATTTATGGTGCTGTTTCCTCCTGGGTCATCTGTACTCCAGGCATCTGGTAACATCTTTGGGGAAGAAGAAAGAATGGAGTATTTCAAAAGGTTTTGCTGGGAGTGCGCCCTCAGAGGTGAGAAAGAGTTGGGCATTTTCTTCAGTTCTGTCTTGCCAAAAAATGAAGGTCGACATATATAGGGAATTCAATAGCAAGTGGTGGTACTGTTCTTTTACCGTTGTCGACAAACGTTTTGATCCCGCAAATCCGGCTTTTTGAAATAGTGACGACTCTTCGATATTTGAATTTGCCTCTTCGATTTCTGAGCAGTCGTCCCTTCGATTTCTGAACGATGCCCTTCGCTTTCTGAACGACACGTAGTAGCGCGGATGCGGCTCTGTCTGAGATCTTTTGACAAGTGGCACGCGTTTTCTGCAAAGCCGGGAGTTTTCGACAAATATGCACACGCTTTCTGGAAAGCCGGGAGCTTTTGGCTTTGTCTCCCACATTTGTCGGCTAAAGTGTGCAGCTGATTTCTCGCCTTCCACGCGTCTTCTGAAAAGCTGGGATTGCGTCTGACGAGCTGGCGATCTTTACGCCGGATATTCCGGTTTTGAAGAGTGGTGTCTCTTCATTCTGAATTGGTGAACGCCTCTCCTTTAATAGAGGTGATTGATCACCTCTAGCATGCACACTTGAAAATTGCCCAGAAATCGTCTCCGGCCCGTTTGAAAATCTACTCCGTCCACCCCTTCTCTTTTAACTTCGTGAACAATGGCTAGCTCATCAAACCCATCGAACCTTTGCTTAGATTTGAGTCTAAGCAGTGATCCGGTCGCGTCTCGTCAGGGTAAGGTATGGTGCCCGTCTTTCTTATCTTCCCATGGCCCTCTTACAGATGAGGACTCTGTGATGACGGATCCCACAACGGCTACGATAGTGGCTCGGAACCTCCTCACTCCCAAAGACAGTCAGCTGCTTTCTGGACGGTCCGATGAGTTGGCCGTTCAAGAGTCCTTGGCTCTTAGCGTTCAGTGCGCTGGCTCTGTGTCCAACATGGGCCAACGCCTTCTTGCTCGCTCCCGTCAGGTTGAATCCTTGATGGCGGAGGTGGAGAGTCTTAAGCAGGAGATCAAACAGCTTAAGTACGAGAACCGAAGTTTGCACGTGCTTGCCAACAATTATTCGTCAGGCATGAAGAGGAAGCTTGATGAGCTTGATGACCGTCAAAAGCTTGCGGCTTTCTTCCAGAGGCACCTCTTTCCTGGGTCATCCAGCGTTCCACCAAGGTTTGAGGCCTTGAATGATCTATCTTTGGTACCTTCCGCTCCGATGCCTTCCGCTCCGATGCCTCTTGCTCCGATACCTTCTGCTCCGAGACCTCCTGCTCCGAGAGTATTGCCATGTAGTGGGGCCTCACGTACACAACCTTTGTAAAGGCTCCATCTTTCTGCCATGTTTAGATACAATTGTAATTTATCGAAAAAAATCAATGAACAAGCAAAAGTTTTATTTACTGTATTGGGTTGCCTCCCAAGTAGCGCTTTCTTTTACGTCTTGCAGCCGGACGAAGAACCCAATCACTCCAGGATATGTTCACGAATCGGATGAGAACTCCGAGTCATGAACTAGTACCTAAAACAAGAAACAAAACAAATTTAAGAATCTGGGAAAATAAAAACAAACGAAAATAAAACAATCCAAGGGATTAGCAAAATTGCTAATCCCCGGCAACGGCGCCAAAATTTGATGCGAGTTTTATGCGCACAAATTAAACCCTCTTTTTGACAATTGTAGTATAAGTATAAGTAGGGATCGTTCTGGACCGGGGATTAGGAGGGATTGTTAATCACTTGGATTTTTGACTTAAAAACGTAAAAACAATATAAAGCACTAAACTAAATTGATTTCTAACTAATTTGACAATAAAGTAAAGGGGGGATTGTGTTTGGACAATATTAAATTAAATGGAAAAATTGTAATTAAAGGCAAAACGTAAATATGAATGAGATGAAAATATGGATGATGGAATAGCCAAGGGGTTCATCTCCACACATGTTATACTTGCATACAAAATTGATTCTCAGTTGGTCTTTCGATAAATTATGAAACTCAACACTCCGGATTAATTAGGTCCGCTTAAATTAACCGTCAAGTTTTCCTTAAGTTAATGAATTGGATGGGTTTGCGCAACGCAATTCACAACATTCTCCAAAAGTCCTTTACGTGAACAGCACAATAAAGATACAATCAAAGATCATTAAGCATTATGAAAACTATAAGTGTTGACGAGGCATTCGTTACTATGATGAGCATGAAACTCGTGCCAAGAATTCATTTAACGCGATTGTTTATAAGCAACCTCCACTACTTGTGAATATAAGTTCATAACGATTAGGTGAAAATCACTTATATTCTAGCGTCATATTTATGCATGAAAATTAAGCGCGCATTCTTAATAAACATTCATAAATAAGTTATCAATCAAACGGTTAAACAAATTGAATCCACAACTTATGAAATTCCAACGAAAGTTAATCAATTCATATTGCAAATATAAACATAGTTTCGAATCACCCCCTAGCTAAAGGGGGTTTAGTTCCTCATAACTTTAAAATCAAAGAAACACCTAAACATTCCAACAACTCAAAACTTGAATTGTATGAACGTTTAAGCACTCTTCTCTTCCATTCCTTATACGTACAAAACAAAGAGAATTAAAATGAAACTTTGAAATCAAAGAAACACCTAAACATTCCAACAACTCAAACTTGAATTGTATGAACGTTTAGGCACTCTTCTCTTCCTCGTTGTTGTAGCACAAGGTTTAAGGATATGTTGGTTGGGGGGATGGAAGTGTGGAATGGAGTGGAAATGGAGAAGATGGAGAAGGGGAAGTGTTTGTGTATTACAATGGAAAATGAGATGATTTGGTGAATGGAATGAATGGGTATTTATAGGAAGAGAATGGGTGTTAATGGATGTTTGTTTAAGGTATTTGGTGGATGGGAAAAGGTGTGGATGGTGGGAATTATGGTGGATGGATGGTTTAGTGGATGTAATTTAGGGTTTATTTAGGTGAATGTGGATGCATGGTTTAGTGGATGTAAAGGATAATGGGATGGTGTGGAATTAAAAGCTAAAAAAAATGGGATAATGGGCATTTAAGTGTGAATGGAATGGTGGGATGCACTAATGGAAATTATGGAATGGAATGGTGGGATGCACTAATTAGGAGGAAGAATTAGGGTGAAGGGCTTAATGCATGGATTTGGGCCTAAAATGCCCCCCCTTGCATGGCAAGGGAAAGGACTTGGGCTAAAGCCCACGGCAATGGCTCTAAAATGGGCTAAGGTTAGGGTTTAGGTCATCTAAAAGCCCAAAGCCAAGAATAGAAACTCACGACAATGGAAACCTCCAAGAATAGAAACTTCCAACTTTAGAAACTTTGGTTACCAATTCCGACTTCCTTACTCTTCACTTTCATTTCTTCATTTCTTAAGCTCCTTTGACCTTCAACCTCGTTCATTCCTCGTGCTCCATTTGCATACACCACATTCCAGCTCAGTTTTGCTCCAAAAGCTCCCAATTGCATCATTTCATGTAATATGTCCTTTAAACCTGAAAACACATGAAAGTAGCTTAAAAGACTACTTTAACGAATAAAACATAACAAAAATGCATAAGAACTAGCTAACTAAGGCGCATAAATATGCTCCTATCAACTGTAACTAGGATACTTGAGCTTTTACTTTGCATTTCTCCTTTCATGTTTGTCACTAGCATTCACTGATCTTTTTATTGTAAATTATCTCGTCGACTTTATTTTCTCGTATTTTCACTCTATTGCTTCCGCATTGCACACTTGGCTACGTCACCTTAACGTGACGGCCAGCACGCCCCAATATTTGGATTGGGGTGTGTCAATTACTACATAAACTAAAATTGAAAAATAAAACAAAAGATTTATTATCTCAATGATCAACCCGTGCTAAAAAATACATAAACTTTTTAATAGAAATTATATTTAATGTTTAACAAATGGCAAGTTCTGAAAGATGGTGGAGTGTCACTTGGCAAAATCCAGTAGTAACCTAAGCCCCATACAAGTTTTTCTCACTAACCAAATGGCGGGTTGAGGCATAATGCCTAGGTGGGAGCCTAGGTAAATTTAAGTAAATTTATTATAACAGATATAAATAAATGTTTATTTATACTTAATAAAAACTATATTGTATTGGAATTTTGAATTTACTATTTTAATTAAGTTTTTAAGTTTAACATATAACATACAAAAAATGTTGAATGAGTAATATATCTTTTTAGTAATTAAAATGCTAAGTGGCAGAAAGAGGGAAAATTTTTAGGTGTACCGGGTACACCAAATTTTTTTGGTGTACCCTCACTCATTAAAATTTTTTTGGTGTACAAAAAGTGAGGGTGCACCAAATTTTTGGTGTACCCTCACCATTATGAGTGAGGGTACACCAAAAAAATTTGGTGTGCCGGGTACACCGAAAAATTGCTCCATATAGGGCCATACCGAATTTACTTTCCCTTCAAAAATGTGCTGTACAATCCAATAATCTCACAGCTCAAAAATGCCGAAACGCCGACTCTCCGACTCAGACGTCGAAGAAACCTCCGAGAACTCCAGCGCAGAGTCGGAGGACGCGGGAAAACCCATCAATGGCGGGAAAAACCCAGCGGGAGCAGTGTCGGAGTACGAGAAGCGGAGGCTGTCGAGAATTGCAGAGAACAGGGCGAGAATGGAGGCTCTGGGTCTGCCTAAAATCGCTTCTTCTTTAATGGGTTCGGGCCCGAATGCGAAGAAGAAGAAGGGGCAGAAGAAGGGGAAAGCCAAGGTCTTGGAGGACGACGAGGACTATAGGCCTGACGAAGACCAGGAAGGACCCAGTTCGTCTGGTAGCCGAGAGGAAGAAGCCATGGAGGAGGACGATGACGATGATTTTGTGACTGTAAAAACAAAATCTGGTTCGCGGGGAAAAAAGGTTAGTTCTTTGTGTGCTATTATTTGATTTGATGAATTCGTATACTTTCTCTTTGTTTCTTTTTGTTATTTTCTTCCTAAAGTCTCATAGCGTGGACTTGTAACTTAGAAGGGCATTAAACTGATCGGAACTATGGTACATTTGGTTTTTTTTTTTATTTGGAGAACAAAAAATCAAATATTGTAAAGGAGCAGCCAATTACCAATTTTTGGTGTTATTTTCACCGAGTAAAGAGATTTATGTGAAGCTTATAAAACAATGGGCTAAGGACTAGTTTGGTATTACTGTGCTTTTAAAAAAAGTTGCTTCTTGCTGTGGTATGGGAATAATCAACTACAAAAAAGCAGATACGCGTTTGGTAAAATGTGTTTCTAAAGCTGCTGAGGATTGATCCCCTTGAAACCAGTTTAATTGCGCCGTGCGGCAGCATATTAGTGAGAATTGGACAATGCACATTAAGTAGGTTTAGATTGGGTGTCATTTCAGAAGCTGCATGACGGTTTTAAGACAGTGATAGTTGATATAAAGTAAAGCGAACTTCACTGTATGATTCGAGCAAGATCGAACCTTCTAGACTGCTTTGTTTCCTCATCATGTTTTGTTGTGCATAGAAATCCATATGTGGTATTGCATGACTTCTACTAGTTGGCTGACTTCTTGAATTTTATCCTTGTTGATTCTCTATCCTGGTGAAGAATAAAAGTTCAAAATCTAAGAAGGTTCTTTCCCGAAGCACTTTGAGTAACGATGACTGCATCGATGATGATGAAGCGTTGAAGCATGTATGTGACAGTATCTTCTTAAATGAATATCATTTCTGATTGCTAATTGCCAGGTTTAGAATAATTGGGTGGATCATTAACCAACTGATATGATATTAGTCCTAGGTGGTTATACCTATAATTTTACACTTTTTGCAGGCAATTTCTCTTTCATTACAAGGTTCTCATGTGAAAAATGCTAATGTTACGGGAAGAAAGGGAAACCCTCAGATACAGGAAGATACAGGAAGGAGGAAGAGGAAAAATTCGGTGTGTGAAGCAGAGTTATTTCACGTTTCTCCTATTGTTCCTTAGCTGACTGCCCATTTGTCGGTTTTCATTGTTTGTATTCCACAGTTTGCTAGTCGGCTCCAGATGACAGAGGATGAGTTGATTTTGCACTTCTTTCAGTTTGATGGTAAGTTATATTATCTCTGTCTTGGAGGGATGGGCTATGCTACACTCCTTTACTCATGAAGTGGATACATTTAAGGAGAGACAATGAGTAGTTGCTCATCTTCCTTTTATGTTCTCTAACGATAAATGCCCTACATGAACACAATCTAACTGCATTAGTAAAACAATATCAACAGAAGCACATCAAAAGCATTGAAGAACGTCACGTATGAAGCTAATAGTAGGAAGAAACACTAAACAATATAGTACGAGTTTCTGGTTTAGTCAAGTGATTGACTGATGTTTAGCTCCCGCAGCATGCTGTATAGTTGTATGGCCGTAGTGCTCTTATGTGAAGAGTCTTATATCCATTTGCTTAAGTCTTGCTTCTGTTGAAATTCGACATGGTGAAAGCAAACTTTGTAACAACTTGCATTTGGATCCAGCGCACTTGGGATCTGACCACGGTGGAGTCTTTGTTTCGTGTTCTCTTATTTCCACTCTGAAACTTGTGGCATATTCTCTTTAGTTTATGTATCTTCCACTAACTGAAGTTTGTTGTTTAATATGTGATGTACTCAACTCGTATGGTTTCAAGTATGTACACTCAACTCTTACCAAGCCAAAATAGAATGCACAAAATGTCCTTGACCTTGGTCATTGCTCCTGGCGTGCAGAGAAATGTGACGGGGGAATCTCTATAGCAGATATTCAAAGATTAGCAACTACCCATGATTTTGTGGAATAAGGAGGAGTTGGCGGACATGATTCACTGTTTTGATAGTGATGGAGATGGAAAGGTCGGTACCAGCTGCTCTCAACGTTCTTAGCAGAGTTTAAGCAACTTCTGTTTCGTCCTTTTAGCATCTTTAGTAATTTTAGCTATTTTTATGTATTTACCTGGGCTGATGAATGTTATCTTTTGCAATGTATTGCAGTTGAGTCTGGAGGAGTTTCGAAAGATTGTCGTTCGTTGCAACATGATCAAAGAGCCCGAGCAGTCTTGATGAGTTTACACCGATTCTAAACCAAACAACGTGTTTTAATTTGCAAAGAACTACAAGTTACATATTATCTTTGAAGATTGAAAGCAGATGCGAGATGTTTGTTAAACTCCGTCGATGATAATAGCTTGCGATCAGTTCATTTTTCAGATTACACTACCTCAATTCATTCTACGCATGTTTTCCGACCCCATTTACAGTCAAAATGGTTCGTAACATTATTCAACACAAAGGATAAGAGAACACAATTTTAACGAAGGTGGCGGCCACAGATAGAAAGCTTTTAACCTCCATGTCAATAACAAAACCAGTTTTAAGGTGTCAACACCTACTCATACAATGAGAAAATGCTCAGTCCGACGGACAATCATTTCGCAGTGTTCTAGAGTGTCGATACAGATTGGTAATACGTTATACAAAAGTTCCTTCTAATCAATCACACATTCAATTTCCGGATTTTTTCCATTCTTTTTATACATTTCATTGTCCAGCAACGGGAGTGCCCAGGGAATGTGAGGTGCCCGGTCATGTCTTCCTCAGAATGTACCCCAAAATAATGCCAATCAAGCCAACTAGAAGAACATAGATAAATGGAATGCCACCAGCACTCTTGTTGACCCTGCGCCTCAAAACATCCTGCATATGATGATCGTTTGGTTAGAATGGGAACCATATCAGTTAGCTACCATTAATTTGGCGTTAAAACTTACGACAAACTTTTTTCGAGATTAAACATTGAAGCAACTAACAATATAGCAAGGCACAAAGATAAAAGTGGAAGCATATTAAGGCACAATAAGGGAAATGTAATACATTAAAGACTTAAAAGGGGAGCACACAACTTAAAGTACTACAAAGCCATTAAATACACTTCTAATTCAATCACATTCTCTTTCTTGTTCAACGTTAAAGACAAAGTTCAATAATCGCCTGGCAGAAAGGAAATCACTTTGGTTTTGTTAAAAACAGCCAGATGTTTTTTGATTGGCAAAATGAACCTCTGTCTGACCTTAACCCGCCCCCGACAATGCACCTCACAAGGTCCAAATACGAAGTGAGCATATGGTGGGTGGAGGGAACTGCACTAAGATAAATCACCTTTTTTTTTCACTTTTGTCAAGAAAATTCTTCTGGAAGATAAAATACACTGGTATCTATCAAAAACTTTAGTAAAATCTCATAAACATATTGACAACATAAATTTCTTTTGACAATGTTCTCCTTTTCTCTTCTTTGAGAGAAATATCAACCCCAGAATGCTAGCTTTTTCACTACATATAATATAGGCAATTTAGGACTACGGTCTAGTGGTATTCCTCTTCACTGGTAAGTAAGAGGTCTTAGGTTCGATTCTCGCCAAAGACGAATTTGAATCACATTATTGCTAGCCCATTGTGAGGCTTAGCCCACTCCCCCACCCCTTTAGTGTAGATAATATTGTTTGTTCAAAAAAAAAAAAAAAAAAAGAAAAAACTATATATAATACAGAAAGCATCAGTGATGATGTTTTATTAGTATTAGCACAAGTCGACAATCTCGTTTCACTTTCACCTAGATGCTTACGTCTATAGAGATTTGTAACACAGCTTTAACATTTACAACTTGGCAGTAATATGATGTACCATAAATGGTTGGTTCCGAGAATTATCAAATACTGACAAATAAGATTTGACAAAACAGCTATATGTTGTTAAATCTTTAAACACCTAGGGTTCATGCAATTTAAAATATCATTAAGAAGCTTTCTAGATTTTAATAAGCTTTCTGGATTGTAATTACTACACTGACTACATATCACTATTAAGCTCAATTAGCTCAACTTAGTAGTTCTAGTGAGGATTAAAGTCTTGAAAACTTCTCATGATCTTTAGTTATTTTGTAAAGAGATCGTGTTAACTACCATGTTCCACTCAGACATTAAAACGACAGAAACAAAAAGTTCCTCACCAGTTCTTGTTGAAGCCTGTTATTTTGCTGAATGGCAGAATTTTTCTCCTCAGTCAGCCTTGCAATTAATGTCCTTGCCTGCAATTACAAAATTATATTAACAACCGTGTACTGCTGACATCAATATTTCTGCAACCCCACAAATTCATTCCAGGATAAGAAACATTCTTCACTGTTAAAAAGAAGTATACAATGTTGATTAAAGGACAAAGGGCAACCAAAATGGTTATCAGCAGCAGTGACTCTAAATGAGAAACTTGAAAGGGGTTATCGAGTTGAAATATTGATCAAGCTCACTATACCGTATTGTTAAAAGGGCATTCTCCAAAAGGGATTTTTTCAACCTACATGAATCCAGGACTTGCAAACTACTTGAGCCATCGTAAATTCTGAAATCATGACTCCCTAACTCAGTTTCTTGTGGAAATGGAGGGATTCATAATTGAGGAATGGTAACTAAGAAATCGAGCTTTATGAACAACAGAATCTAACGGAAAGGTAGCCAGGGAAGACTTAGGTGTCTCTCCGCTGCTATACCCTAAAATATCTGAAAACAACTTCATAAGATACAACTAATCCACCCACCCTCAGGTCTGCTAGGTCATTAAAATGCTTTGCTATGATGATCAAAGGTAAATTCTGAAATCGGGAGTTTCATGAACCATTCAAATTCTAGTGGATGCTAAACAAGAAAGGACACACACTTGGATGGCGTAGAAGTTTAAAAATGTTGTATTGTACTAGTAAAATAAACACAGATGCAAATCATGCAAAAACAACCAACATTAATTCAATGTTCAACACTCTATATACCACCTAGTTTAAAAATAAAAGGTATACCTCAGACGAGTTATCTTGATGCTCGTGTTGCTCAGAGAAAGCTCTTGAAGCCTAAAACCAAAATTAATCATGAAATCGTAAATAATTTAATACAGTTAAAGGCAAAAACAAATTGTTCTATTTCCATTTTGATCCATCAAGAAGTACTCACAGCTTTGAACTCAGAGGCTGCTGCACTCCCGTTGTCCACTGAAGCCCTGGGTGACGAACCTTCCTCTGAACCTTCGCGAACCGGCGATGGTGGCCGAGGTGGAGCAACATAGAGAACTCTCAATTTACACTCTTCAACATTATGCCCCGATTCCTTATTGAACTGAAATTCAACAAACACGAAACCCCAGTTGCGCAACCACAAGTTTTACATTTAGACAAGTGAATTGCACAAATATTTAGCAAAGTAACCTCCAAAACTCATACACAAGGCCACATAAAATCATAACATCTAGTTACCATCTCTGCAGTGATGTCCTTTGTGGTAGTCCCGGGGCGGGCAACGACGCTCTGAAGAAGGAACTTGTCCTTGCATTGCATATCCGAAGGTGCCTCCTTTTGCGCTTGCATTGTCACTAAACCCACATACAAATTTAACATGTCAACACATTGGGATATTGTAATTTCGCAAATAATTAGCAATTAAGCAAGATGATACAGTGTGGGAGGTATACCTATAACATCAGAAGTGGACCTTGGCAACACAACCCCAGTGTTTGGTCTAACACAGTACTTTTTGGGATTTGTTGTTTTTACCTAAAACACCACAAAATTACACCAAAATCAGGATTGCAAATCTCTAACAGTCAAAATTGAGCAAACCCAGAAATTAACATCTCTGGTGAAAAATTAAAAAGGGTGAAAATTAACCTTGAAAGCCACAAAGTCATTGGTTTTGTTGGAGAGTTGCAGAGAGCAAGAGATCTGCTTCCTCAATTCAACTAATTTCGTTCGAATCAAAAGAATTAAATCCAAAAAGTGAAAGTAAAGTAATCAGAAACAGTAAAAAATAAAAAACGCGGATCTGCAAGTAAAGGAGAAGCAGTTTAAGAGAGAGAGCGTACAGGGGAACTGGAGTTCTTGGGGTTCGATGCTGAGAAGCTCGCCGGTGATCATATCGTAAGCGATCAGAGAAGAGAGAGGAGATGGTGGTTTTGCGGCTGAGATGAGCTGTTTCCCGGTGGCGGGGAGTGGTCGAGAGAGAGGGAGAGATTCGAATGATTTTGAGAGTGGTTTCCGAGAGAGAGAGATGGGAAGAAACAACGTGGGACCCTGTTGGGTTGTCCTTTCTTTTGGGTTTTTTTTTCAGTGCTACGAAGATCAGATATTACGTGTTATTTTTTAATTAAATTAGCGGTTGTTATCTAAATCTAAATTACAGATAATAAAAAAATAATGAAATTATTATTATACTTTTTTTTTAGGAATTATTATTAACATTTCAAAAATTCTCATTATATACTTTAAACCTTCTATATTAGGAAAGAAAAATATACTTGTAGCAATTTGGAAGTGAGGGAGGAGAGTTTTGCTGGGTTTTTCTTCCTCCAGGTGGCTTGTGGAAGATGAAGTCAGAAGAGTTTAAAAAGAGGAAAGCGAGAAAAGTTTTCGGCTTAAGTAATTTCAGTGGCAATTACGAGAGAAGAGAAAATTATATATATTTTATTTTATTTAAGTTAAAGTTCATAGTTCTATAATATACCTAATTGACTAGAATTTTAAAAAACTTTTAAAATAATTGAGAAATAAACCATTTGCTTTTTTAGTAATAAAGATATTAATTAGACGTACAAAATTAACCTCATTGCTAATACATTTTTTAATACAGTTATTTAGCATTATAATTTAGTGGTATTTCTCTTAACTTGTAACTGAGAAGTCTTAGGGTTGATTCTCTCCAAAAGCAAATTTGAATCACATTATTGCTAGCCCATTGTGGAGCTAAACTCATCCCTTCTCTAATACATGTAGGTCTAACGGTTGCAAAATGTATGGTCAGTTTGTGTGCCTAATTAATAACATTAGTGTTCTCTTTTTAGTAAGTGAATAAGGAAAATACTTCAGTACATACTGGTCGGTACCCAATTTCACTGATCACTCGTGTGGCCTAAATTTTTTTTAACATTTGTCAATCCGAGTGCTTTTGTCATTTCTGTAACCAAACACATATCCGTGCCTTAAACCCGTGATCAAACGCAAGTCTTCTTCATTTCCAACAAGTCTGCGAAGATCCTCATAGCCAGCCACCATGACCTCGTCGGCTCCGCCATCATCTTAAAGATACAAGTCATAGACTTCACTTCACCAATCTTGTCCTCGACAGCCATGCCGAGCTCGATCTCACTCGCCAAGATGACGTCGAGTACTTTACCATCGACGATTCGTAATCCTTGCCGCTGCAAGTCGGCGGCATCTTCGTCAAACCCACATAGCTTCAGATTTCGTCTCCGTCAATCTCACTGCAACAGTGGAATCCACTGTTGGAAGAGGGACTGGGAGGGGATGGGGTCAGCGGAGGAGGGAAGATGGAGGAGAGAAGACGGGATGAAGAAGAAACCATAGTCATGACATTAAAGACTTGCAGATATCGAAGAAGAAGAGTTATGTTTCGTATTTGTTATAAAGGATTGGTTTGCATTTGGTTATAAAGTTAGCAAAAGTGGTGAAAGTGACAGATGCCTTAAAATACGCCACATAAATGGTCAGTTAAAATGGGTACCGATCGACCAGTACCCAAGTATTGTCCAGTGATAATACCAGAAAGAGTGCCAGCAATCTTCTCTCTTAAGGCATTTTTTCTTGGGAAGGAACTTCTAACTCCTCCTCATGTTGTGTCATTTCTCATACACTCCAATGCTTTAATTAGTTTTAAAAACTAACCCCTTTGAAGCCATCTATATTGACATTTTTCCTAGCATTTTCTGATAATTATAAATCTAGCCAAATCTAGTGTGCACAAAGACTTAGATGCATTTAGATTGAAAAATCCGTTGCCAACTAAAGTCTTCCCTCTTCCAGCAAACTTTAAACCTCGCACTACCGATATGGATCACCACGTATTTACAACCCCTAAATCACTAGCCACCACAATTTTTTCTTCAACGTGAATGACAGTGCTATTACTCCGTGTGAAGTGCATGCAAAGAATCTAATTCCCCCTCTTTCCCTTCTTTTTTTTTTTTTTTTTTTTTTTTTTTCTAGTAAAGTTGATGAGTTGCTGACATGAAAAATGGGGTTACATCAAGGTTGTCATTGTCCCTATTGGGTTAGGATTGTGACTTGTTGATGCGAGATTTATGCGCACACAAATTAAACCCTCGTTTGACAATTGTAGTATAAGTATAAGTAGGGATCGTTCTAAACCGGGGATTAGGAGGGATTACTAAATCACTTGGAAACTGACTCAAAAATGTAAAACAAACATTAAAACACTAAAACAAATCAAAAGACTCAAAGAATACAAAACACTTATAAACACAAACTAAGACACTTTCTAACTAAATTGGACACTAAAGTAAAGGGGGATTGAGATTTTGACGAAAATAAATTAAATGCACAAATTGTAATTTAAAGGTAGAATTTAAATATGAATGTGATGAAATATGGAATGAATGCTAGCTAAGGGGTTCTTCTCCACACATGTTATACTTGCATACAAGATTGATTCTCAGTTGGTCTTTCAATAAATTATGAAACTCAACACTCCGGATTAATTAGGTCCGCTTAAATTAACCGTCAAGTTTTCCTTAAGGTAATGAATTGGATGGGTTTGCGCAACGCAATTCACAACATTCTCCAAAAGTCCTTTACGTGAACAGCACAATAAAGATACAATCAAAGATCATTAAGTATTATGAAAACTATAAGTGTTGACGAGGCATTCGTTACTATGATGAGCATGAAACTCGTGCCAAGAATATGTTTAACGCGATTGTTTATAAGCAACCTCCACTACTTGTGAATATAAGTTCATAACGATTAGGTGAAAATCACTTATATTCTAGCGTCATATTTATGCATGAAAATTAAGCGCGCATTCTTAATAAACATTCATAAATAAGTTATCAATCAAACGGTTAAACAAATTGAATCCACAACTTATGAAATTCCAACGAAAGTTAATCAATTCATATTGCAAATATAAACATAGTTTCGAATCACCCCCTAGCTAAAGGGGGATTAGTTCCTCATACCTTTGAAATCAAAGAAACACCTAAACATTCCAACAACTCAAAACTTGAATTGTATGAACGTTTAAGCACTCTTCTCTTCCATTCCTTATACGTACAAAACAAAGAGAATTAAAATGAAACTTTGAAATCAAAGAAACACCTAAACATTCCAACAACTCAAACTTGAATTGTATGAACGTTTAGGCACTCTTCTCTTCCTCGTTGTTGTAGCACAAGGTTTAAAGATAGGTTGGTTGATGGGATGGAAGTGTGGAATGGAGTGGAAATGGAGAAAATGGAGAAGGGGAAGTGTTTGTGTATTACAATGGAAAATGAGATGATTTGGTGAATGGAATGGATGGGTATTTATAGGAAGAGAATGGGTGTTAATGGATGTTTGTTTAAGGTATTTGGTGGATGGGAAAAGGTGTGGATGGTGGGAATTATGGTGGATGGATGGTTTAGTGTATGTAATTTAGGGTTTATTTAGGTGAATGTGGATGCATGATTTAGTGGATGTAAAGGATAATGGGATGGTGTAGAATTAAAAGCTAAAAAAAATGGGATAATGGGCATTTAAGTGTGAATGGAATGGTGGGATGCACTAATGGAAATTATGGAATGGAATGGTGGGATGCACTAATTAGGAGGAAGAATTAGGGTGAAGGGCTTAATGCATGGATTTGGGCCAATTAGGGTGAAGGGTTTAATGCATGGATTTGGGCCTAAAATGCCTCCCCTTGCATGGCAAGGGAAAGGACTTGGGCTAAAGCCCATGGCAATGGCTCTAAAATGGGCTAAGGTTAGGGTTTAGGTCATCTAAAAGCCCAAAGCCAAGAATAGAAACTCACGACAATGGAAACCTCCAAGAATAGAAACTTCCAACTTTAGAAACTTTGGTTACCAATTCCGACTTCCTTGCTCTTCACTTTCATTTCTTCATTTCTTAAGCTCCTTTGACCTTCAACCTCGTTCATTCCTCGTGCTCCATTTGCATACACCACATTCCAGCTCAGTTTTGCTCCAAAAGCTCCCAATTGCATCATTTCATGTAATATGTCCTTTAAACCTGAAAACACATGAAAGTAGCTTAAAAGACTACTTTAACGAATAAAACATAACAAAAATGCATAAGAACTAGCTAACTAAGGCGCATAAATATGCTCCTATCAAATTCCCCCACACTTAGCTTTTGCTAGTCCTTGAGCAAAACAAACAAAAGAAAGAAAACAAAACGAAACAAACTAACCAAAACCAAAAACTAAACCTTCCAACGTTCGCCTCAGGGATTTCCAATGAAACATGACATGTCAAAATTCATTACTCACATGGCTTTTAGTCTTCCTTTCCCTCAAGCACATACTTAATCATAGTCACCATTCACTAGTTCGCATTTAATCAATTAAAACATATTTTGAATGTAGTAACATGCCTTAGAGAATTTCCTCAATTCCTCACTCGTTATGCACTCAATTTTCACTCAAATTTTCTGACTACACACCCTACACTAGTTATATGTGAGAAGATTGATGTAAACATGAAAGACTAGTACTCACATACGTTATACAAGGAAAGCAATTTCGGGAGTAATTAAACGTGTATGGATATGATCTCATGAATGGGATGCTACTACTTAGATGCGAGAACCAGTGACACCATATGCTCATACCAAATTCAAACTCCACATTTGAAATGCACAACACTCAAGATAGAAGTCAAGGGTTGTAACGGGGCTTGGGGTATTGGCTAACAAGGGAAGGTAAGGAATAACAAACGTTCTTTAAGCAATAATAAGTAAAGTAATGAAATTAAGACCTAGAATTCCCTTAGAATGCAGAAATCAACTTTTAACACAAATAGGGGAGATTCAAACAACTCTTAGGGCCTAATTCAATGTTTTGGGCCCTTACTTCAACAACCAATACTTTAGAACTCTTTTTCACTTCTTTTCAACTCTTTTTCATTTTTTTTTCTAACCGTGCCTATGGCACAAAAACTCACATCCATAATCCTTCCCCCACACTTATTTTCTGCAACACATTAATCAAAAGGAATTCATTGCTTACTATGCTTCAAGAACAAGGGTACGGAAGGTCCTAATCTAGGCTAGGTAAGGAT